GACGTAAGAGTTAAGGTTTTGAATATTTAGAAGTGCAAAAAAAGGATAAGAGATTAAGAATAAATATGTACTTGAAATTGTGGATAATGTAATGAGATAAACAAATGGAAAATTTTAATTTATAATTAAAAAATTGGTGTAAGGAGATATAAATGTTGTGTAAATAGAAGCTTATTTTATTTCTCAATATAATTTTTTTTATAAAAGTAATGAGTAAAAGATCTTTTAAAAATGGTTAATTTCACTTTAAACTATCATTAATTTTTATTTTTTGTCCTTAAATTATTAATTTGATTCAGTAAGTCATTGAAGTTTCTTATTCCAATTAATGTGGTTTAATTAGAGATGATTGTCCACATCAATAATTGTTAAAACCTAATTTGAGGAGAAGAAAATAAGAATTATTTTATTCAACTCCTTGGATAACAATTTGGCTTAAGAATAAACAATTTTACAGTACTAGTGCAAGGGGAGCTTCTATTTGCATACGCTCATTCCTCTTTTTAGACATCCTTCTTAGTTCACACAGCTTAAAAAAAAAAAAAATACTTACTCATTACACACTTTTATTCCAATTATATCTCCATAAACACACTCCTAATACATGCACCTTCCACACCAGCAAGTAACGATCAAACCCTAACCCTAACCAACAATCACCTCGCCGGCGGCGACGTAGCACCGGCGATACTACTGCGACCCCCTTGATTTCTCTCTCTCTCTTTCTCGCGAAAAGGAAGGCAATGACGACTCATAGACAAAAGGGGGCTTTGGATGTTGATGGTCAAACCAATGTGTTTTGTTCGGATGTTGATGGTCGAACCAAATTCATTGGTTCGATGGTTGATTTCTGAATGAAGGCGATTCTTTCGATATTGGTAGTTTGAATGGTAAGAAAATGAGTCTTCTTCCCAGATCTAGGTTCTACATGCCTTTCTCTATCTCTCTGCGGATTGAGGATTGCAAAAAGGTGAGAGCTGCGGCGGCGGTGGTGTTGCGTCGCGAAGTGGGGGTTATGGGGGTGGTGGGGAGGGTGAGTGAGCGACGAGCGACGGGGTGAGGAAGAGTGGCAACAAGGCAATGGGTTTGCAGACGAAAGGGAGTTGCAGTGGTGAGGGAAAAGGTAACGACGACGATGGAGGAAAAGAGAAGCGGCGGCCATTTAGGATAGTGATGATTGATGGTTATGGTTAGTGTTAGGGTTAGGTTTTGGTTGAGGGTTAGGGTTTTGATTGAAGAAGAAATGGGTGTTTTGGTAATTTCATTTTAGGATAAAAATGTAATTAAAAATAATTCATTAAGTGTGTCAAAAGAGAGTAAATGGTGTGTGCAAATAGACGCTCCCTAGTGCAAGTCCTCCAACAAAACAAGAAGCAATTTTGGACCAAAATGCCCTCACAATTATGTTGACAATCTACTATGTTCTTGAGAGAAATTTTAAATTTTGATGCAAAAAATTGTAAATTTAAGGACCAATTAAAAAGAATAGGTTACAAATTCCAAATTTAGAACTAATAAATTCAAATTAGTTACTTTAAAACGACCCCAAAAAAAATCATTTTAAAATAAATAATAGTGAAATTTTATTCTCCAAATATCTTTGAAAATTCTATTTAAGTGCTACAAATTATAAAATTGAGGATTAAATACAAAATTAGGTCCATGATTCCAAATTTAAGACTAGAAAGTTTAAATTTATAGCTCTGAAACAAAATTAGTGAAATTTTTGAGGATTTTGGTCAAAGAAATTTAACTAATTTTTAGTTTAACTCAGTAAAATCTCACTAACTATAGTAATTTTATTAATTTTACTCAGAGAAATTTCACTAAATAAGACAAACGGTAAAAAAAGAGTATACTAAAAAAAATACAAAACAAACAACAATAATCAATTTCTGTCAACTAATAACATAAAGATTAACAAACTGATAAATAAAATAAAATAGAAAACAAGAAATTTCATTGAAAATGAGCAACGTCTAGATCTAAACTAGTGAGATGCATCAAACAAAGAAATAGAACCGGTGCTTGACAGATCGATGATAATAATGAATGTTTTGAGCAAATAAAACACATCCAACGCAGAATAATAGAAGAGACTAAGAGATTGATGACGGCAATAACGGTTTTGAGTGTAAATAATAGAAACAGCGCAGTGGCAGTGAATGCGATTGAGATGGTGGTAGATGTTGTTAAGGCGACACCAATAAACACGGTAAAGACAACGCTAGAGACAGATAAAGAAAAGAGAGACGATACAAAGGAATGGAACCAATAGAGAGAGAGAGAGAGAGAAACGGTAAGGTACAAGCTTGTTTAGCTTGGTTTTTCGGGATTCACTTTTAAGAAAATTGAATTTTTTTATTTTCCGTATTTTTTTGTTTTCACTAATTTTTTTTTAATTTATAGATACACCTAAAATATCTATGAAAAAAATCTTTAGAAAATTCACTAGATACCAAAAATAGAAAAAAAAAATCAGCAAATTTTTTCGTATTCTTGTGTATTTATTGATTTTTTAAAATATTTGTCTACAAATATTTTACTTTTTAAATACATCTAAGTAAGGTGTATCTAAAAAAAGTAAAAAAGTTACTTAAAATTTTAAAAAAATTCACTAAAAAAAAACATGAAAAACAAAAAATTCAATTTCTAAAAAAATTGAATTCAGAAAATTAAAACCAAACGCAATGATGTTTCTAGGACTACAAGGTTAATTTTGACAATTTATGTTAAATTTTGTCATTATCCTTTGGATTGAAATTCTAAGGATTTTAACTAGTAAGTAAATTGTTAATCTCCTCAAACACTTGCACAAATATATAGAGGAAACTATCTCTAATTTTCCCTTGAAAAATTCAATCATAAATTTGAACAACTTATAAATACTTATTTTTCATATTATTTTGATCTAAGAGGGGGAGGAGGTTATTAGGATGTTAAATGTGTAAAATCACATCTATTATTAACGAGGGTTTCTCCACAATTTTGATCCAAAAGGGCAGTGTAATTTCATAAATCTTAGGAGAAAGTTTTTTAAACTATCAAATAACTCAAAGAATATTCATATAACAAGCCAAAAATTAAAACATTTCCATAATTTTTCTCCAGATCACATCTTTTTATTCTTCAAATGAAGCCCTCAAAATACCCAAATCTATCTTCAACTACCACCACGTCAAATTCCTTTCACAACCAAAATTCAGAACTATAGTCCTATCAAATTCTCACCCCAAGTAGGAATGGCAAGAGTGAGATAGAAGTGCATTTGTAATCTACCCACTCCAGACGGAACTAATCAAAGTGATGGTGGATTTATAACTTGGAAAATGTTTGAGAGCCACAATTTTTGTGGCTACAATGACTAAAAACTGCCAAAACGACGTCATTTTGACATGTTTTACACTCAAAACGACGTCGTTTTTGACAGTTTTGAGCCATTGTGGCCACAAAAATTGTGGCCCTCTAGCATTGTTGTTATAACTTTGAGAACGACGGTATTAATAAATAAGAAAGATGATGTCCCATATTAGGGACAATTAATATTTTATAAATTATGATAGTCAAACGATGTAAAATGAAAAATAAGATATTAAATTGAATGTTAGTATATACTTTTTTAGTATGAAAAATACTAAACTCTTTCATACTCTATATTGTGAACTTTATTCTAAGCTTATAATGATAATCTGAATTGTTTATCTTATAAATCTCACAATAAAAATTATTTATACAAAAAATTAGTTTCATCGTATAATATGAATAATTTATTTTTTATTTTTTATAATGCACGACAACTACAAGTTTAAATTTAAACTATTCATTGTATTAAAAAAGACAATTTGTTTATTTATTCATCAATATCTGAAGAAACTAATTTTTTGTATGAACAATCTTCACTGAGATGTTTACGAGATGAACAATATAAATCATCATTGCGGATTAAAGTAGAGCTCACAAATAGAGTATGAAGAAGTATGAATGGTAATAGAATGGAGGAGTGTCATTTCCTTTCACTTTGGGGAGCAACCCAAAAAATAAAAAAATACTAACAAAAACTCATATTGTACATATTATTCATTTTTTTTTTCTTTCTTACAAATATTCATTCAACTAAAAAATATATTTTTAAACTATTAATTTTTTTCACATGGTAAAAAAAATTAAAGATCATGAGCAATAAATATTATATATACATTTTTCTTTATTATTATTATTCTTATATTATTACATTTTTTTGAACTAGTACTATTATTAAGAGGAAATTTATCTTCATGTTTATGTCTTATACGTTGGGTTTTTATGCAAAAAATAAGTTATTGATACAAAAAATAAATTGACCTAGCATTGATCGTCATATTGTTGGGGCATGTGTAACGGTGCATCAACTTTTTTACAAAATTTGAATAAAAACTTTCTTTGATATCAAGTGCTTCAATGAAGGGTCTTGTAATTTCATCAAATCACCTGTCGATCGGCTGGTCAGTATGATTTTTTCACAAATTTTTGTCTTGAGGTGGTCATGCGGTGCTAAAAATCCAACATGAATGAACAGTGATTTGATGAAAGATACATTAGTCTTCAGTTTAATGAAAGAAAAGTAAAATCTTAGATTTGATGAACCGTTGGAGAAGCAAAATGTAACTTTTTTCATCAAATTTAAATTTATGATGAATTTGATGAATTTTTGAAAATGGTCTTAAATTGTTTTTATTTATACAACTTATATATTTTTAAAAATAGACTATTCATGTATTTTAACATATATGTGATTTAATCGTGCGATGTGATCAATCTAAATTTTTATATAAATATTATTCCCAACTTGTTAACGATTCAAATTATTAACATGAATATAAATTAATTTTTTAAAACAAAAATATAATATAATATAAATTAATTTAGCACACTAATTTTATCTATAAAATTAAAATTTTCAATTTTAACTTGTATCGAAATTTCTTCATGTAAGTCAAGCAAGTCAATCAACTTTATTTTGACAATCCTCATCAAATTGGTTTTGTCACACTCATTACCACCTCCCTCACCAAATATTCCGCAAGAAGTACCCCCCATACGCTAAGGTTCTCTTAGCTCGTCCCCAGTCCAATTGCCTCCTACCACCACCTCCTCCGCCGCTGTTGACTACACCACAACCACCACCACCATCACCACCGAGATCTCTAAACATGTCTCTTAGATCAAGACCAACACCACCTCCCACTGAACCATCCACCACCGATCCAACCACCACCGCCATAAAACCCCCTCCGCCACCTCCCTCCGCAGTATCACAAACCCTAACAATCACAGCCAACCTAGCGAACCTCCTCCCAACAGGCACTCTCCTAGCCTTCCAACTCCTCACCCCAATCTTCACCTCTAACGGCGCCTGCGACTCCGCCACCGCCTCCCTCACTCTCCTCCTCCTCCTCCTCCTCTCCGCCTCCTGCTTCCTCGCCTCCTTCACCGACAGCTTCAAATCCTCATCCAACAACCAAATCTACTACGGATTCGCAACAATCAAAGGCATGTTCCTCTTCGATTATCCATCTTCTTCTTCAAATGGAATTCCAGATCTCAGCAAGTACCGCCTCAGGTTCATCGATTGGGTTCATGCGATTCTGTCTGTGCTTGTGTTTGGTGCTGTGGCTTTTAGAGATAAGAATGTGGTGAAGTGCTTGTATCCGAGTCCTGGACATGAAACTGAGGAGGTTCTGGACATTGTTCCGATTGCGATTGGGTTGATCTGTAGCTTGCTGTTTGTTGTGTTTCCTACTAGAAGACATGGAATTGGCTACCCTGTTTCTCCATGATCGGGCAAATGTTTCTCTCTCATTTTTGAATATTTTGTCTGAATTAAGTACTATGTTACCAAAACTACTATGAACTATGAAAATTTCTGGTGTGAATTTAAACTTCTTGCTGTAATAACAAATTCAGAATACATCTTCTTTGTAAATATTAAGTTGTGTTATACCATCTCTGACCTTTACTCTGTCATCAAATTCAAATTTAGTGAAAAAGTCTTCATATGAGCTCCAACAATTTCATCAAAGTAATATGAGGGAGAAGCAGATATTTCATCAAATGAGGGGGTTTGATCTTTCGTCAAATTTAAATTGTTACCATTGGGCAAGATGTTGCAATTTCACAAACGTTTTATTTTCCTTCTCTGGACGACCTTCAGATATCCATCCGAACATCCTTCCAGACAATTTTTCAGGACATCTGTTCGAACGTCCTCCCAAACAATTGGAGATGTTAAAAAATTTGATAAAAATTCTAATTTAAGCATTTAGTGAATTACATCAAATTTTTTATTTAAATTTAATGAAATTTTAATTCAACGGTGTAGATGTTCTTAAAAAGTTTGGTTTAACACCTGCAATAATGGAAGGGTTAGCTGATTTTTTTGACTTTTTGTAAGAGAAAGAATATGATGATTATGGATTGTATATGATGTCTTGTCTTATTGAATTAAAATAGTCTATTTTATCTTATATGACTATTTTAGTCTAAACTTTTCCTCTCAAATGGAGGCTTAATAGTATACGGATCTCAGTGCGAATGACTTTTATAAATGGATAAGTCGAGCTGAGGTGGGTGAAACTCTTTATACTAGGCCTCGTTTGGCAAGAGGCTATTTTAGCCAATTAGCCAAAAAGTTACTAAATTAGCCAAAAAGCCAACAACCCATACCAAAAAGTCAAAGATTCTCTTTTCTCTCTACTTTTTGCACATCTTTTCGTAATTAGCCAAAAAGTCATCCCAAACATACAAGTTTTTTTTACCTACCTTTTTAGCCAAATAGCCAAAAAGTTACTAAATTAGCCTGTTCCCAAACGAGGCCTAAATGGATACAAAATCTCAACTTATAGTTCCTAATAGACAAAATAATTTTCTCAAATTTTAAATATATCGAACTGAATTGGACGGATTGAAGGGGCTATCACGCCAATGTTGACCCTAATCACGATTTCAGCCCGCTTGTCTGAGCATCATTTTTAAGTAACAGAAACTAACCATGAAGAAAAAAAGAAAGTTATAAATTACCTAGGTTGTTATGGGAATCATGAATAAATTTTGGCTCTTGATTATTGTCACGACCCAAACCCACCCCTATAGGTTTAGCACCGTAATCGACCAGTAATCCGTGGATTACCAAAGGCCTCTGAACAGATTAGTAAGTAATAAAGGACTGTGGAAGCAATAATACAAAATAGACAAGATCCAATGATCTGTGATAACGTACATGGGACGGAACATTTCAAAACTTACTATAGATATATAAGCATGTTAGTTCGGATACACAATATTTACAAATATTTACAGAAGTGAACTTCCTAAGATCTGACTTTACAAACAGTTACAGAGACTAGCATGAAAATAAAAAAAGCCTTGGCGTTAGACTTTGGACGGAACCTCCTCGGGAGGCACAACGGTTGGCTGACCAAAAACAGTACAAAAGGGCGTCAACTCTGGCCCTGGTCATGTGCCGGCTCACCTACACACATAATATAAAATGTGAGTGAAAGCCCAGTGAATAATAACAGAGTAAAGAGGTTATATGAATGATGCCCAGTACAAGTTAGAATCTAGCATTTAAATCAGAGCATAATCAGACTTCAAACAGAAACAGATTCATACACATTTACATATTCAGATTTCGCATAAGATCATACGTGGTACACCCATTAGCTATCAGATCAGATTGGTCCAGAGACCCACATATATAGTTGGTACCAACGACCACAAAGGTCCATATCTTGCGCGCAAGTAGCCATGGTATTGTTACCTCCAAGCAAGGGCCACGTGCAGATTGGCCGCGGTATTGTTACCCCTGGGCGAGGGCCAGATACAGATTGGCCGCGGTATTGTTACCCCCAGGCGAGGGCCACGTGAACTAAGGGTGCCACAAATACTTTTCAGAAGATTGGACATTCATTCATAATTTGTAAGATAGCATTTCATAAAATAGATCATACAATACCAGTCAGAAAATACTTAAGTTGAACATAACTTTACAGAGTTATTACTCACAGTGGGCTTGGAGACAGACAGACAGAGCAGATCGATCAGACAGGACGCGGCACGTGACCTAAACGACACATAACAGATACACACTTAAAACACACGTTCTAAATGTACAAAACTTATGCCGATAGTTCTTAGTGTGTTTCTAATACAAACTTGAAACGCACGTTCTAATTGTACAAAACTTATTTCATGGCTCTTAGTGTGTTCTAATCTCTTACTCTCACTATAGAGTCTTAAACATGGCCTAAGAATGTTAAGGATGGAATGAGAATGCAAAGATGCACTTTAAAACACTTTTCAAAATTTTGCTGAAATAGGGGTCCCGCTCGAGCGTGGCCTTCTACGCTCGAGCGGACATGCAGACAAAAGGAATCCGCTCGAGCGTGGATTACTCCGCTCGAGCGGACTGCAAGCTATAGTAAAAGTACTGGATGCATGAAATTCATGCTCGATGGGCGCTCGATACCCGCTCGAGCGTGAGACACAAGTCCTCGCTCGAGCGTGCATTACCCCGCTCGAGCAGACTATAAATACAGGCAAAGTACTAGATACACGAAATTCCAACTCGAGCGTCATTTTACCCACTCGAGCATAATGCATGAACCCAATATATACGCTTAAGCGTGGAGTTCCCCGCTCGAGCGTGAGTCCAAAATCTGGAATTTCCAGATTTGAATCTCAAGCTCAAAACTCAACTACAATGCATCAAATTCGATCCTTTTGGGCTAATTTTCTGAAAAACGCTTGTAAACTCATAATATGACATGTTTCAAAGATCAATTTGAGAAATCAAAGCCCAAAGGTAGTTCAATTAAACACAATTTTCAAATAAACTTCAAGAACATGAAGAACAATGCAAATTCAACGCATGCATGGTTTCCTTGAAACTCCAAAGTTCTAAAACAAGATCAAATGCAAGATTTAACTTCAAAACATGGTGAGTTCATGGACTATAACAAAAATGTGGACATGCATGCAAGAATTTCTATGAAAACAACCTCAAACTTCATGATATACACATGCATGTAAGAATTCCTACTCAATTCAACATTTAGAACCAAAACTTGACTCTAAATTCTAGTTCACCATGAACCATGCAAGAAGTAACTCAAAATCACAATGGAGAAGATGAATTCTCTATCTTAAACCTTGAATTCCAAGTCTAGGAGCTCAATTTTGCAAAGCCTCTTCAATTCTCCTAAGTTCCAAGCCAAATCTCTTGTTGAAGCTAAGTTTTCTCTTCTTTTACTCTTTCCTACGTTTTTGGTCACAAAAATGGATGAGGAAATGTTATGAAGTGTATGCAATTGAGTTCCAAGCAATGGTACTTAAGTGGCCCACTAATGGCAATGTCGTAAATAATTGAACTAATGTAATTTAACGTTATTTAATTTAATTTAATCGTTCCGAACCGAATTTTAATTAAACCTACCAAAAAATTCTATAAATCCTAACTAGCACATAAATCAAGTCGATTTCTGATTCGGACGTCGATAAGGCTTTCAATTTGTAATTTAAAGTAAAAGACATGAACATATCATTTTATCACAAACAGATAGAAATACATAAATAATGCAATACACATGTAAATAAATTCTAAATCCTTTCTAAATTACTATTGAACATAATTAATCATGAATTAATATTAATCGAAGGTCGGAGTTATTACAATTATAAACTCTAAATAAGTATATAATTTGATTTCTGGATTTGTATATATGGGTTTTAAGCAGCTTAGAATTGGCTCCTACAACTGAAAGTGATGGGATATGCTTTGAAATGTCAATTATTAATTTCAATTGCACCTGATTGGCCCATGATGTGATAAGAAATGTGAATTTTATATGATTAATTTTGTGATAAATTAAAAATTGATATCTATCACTTTATATCATTGCGAATAAATTAGGGAATTTCTCTTTACAAAAAGGAAAGAGATCCTTTCCGATTCACTTTTGGATTGGAGGGCTACTGCTGTTGAGAGCCATGGGAATTATCAATTTTATTCTTAACTTGAATTGTTTATTTTGTTTATTTTATATGTAAATCATTCAGAAAAGAATTTAAGTTGATTTGATATTCAAAGCTATTTCATTTTAGGTAAATTATAAATATACTTATTAAGACTTGCTTAAAACATAAATTATTGAAAATTACATTCTGTCGCTTAAAGTTTTTAATTTAATAATAGATGACATATTTTATTAATAAATTATCAAGTCAATTAATAGTTTGTAATGATATCATAAATTTATTTCAATTAAAAATTTAAGTAATTATATTATTAACCATTAGAAATTTTATTTTTTTATTAGTTTTGTTAAATAAAAAATTTTAACAAGGGATATTTGTAATTTTTCAACCGACTGAAGCAATTCGTATTTTAAATAAACTTTGGAGAGTGCATTTTCAATTTATTCTTGATTTTATTATATTTGTAAAAAAAGAGATAATGAGAAGTATAATTTTAAAAATAAATTATTTATTTTTTAAGACAATTACTGTTAGCATTTGTGCCTTCAAAAACCAATTTATTGACTTTATTAATTGATTATATAAATTGCTTGGGATTTTATATTTTACATTTTGTATGTTATTATGGGTAATGTTAAATTTAATGTTCCATATGATGTGAACATAAGATCCCTTGGGTAACATTGTAGAAAAATATGCTAATGGTTAATGAACCAAAAGCTGGGAGTTATGATTTTTCGGTGCCTTGTAAACCCAATTAATGTTCTAGGCTATGGGTGTTGATTGGGCGTCGCACTACTATGGCCTACACCTGTTTTGCTGCTATATGATAGAATGACTAACTCCATCATTGAGGCAGTGACCTTAAGCAAATAGGTGGGTGTTATGCAATAAGTACATGCACTGAACATGATCGGTTTTAAGAACACCTATGGAATGATCACTATCAGTTTAAAAGGTAGTTCTATTACAATACACTTATTTTCTTTTGACCTGAGAGGCTTGTATAAATTAATTATCTATTCATTTAACTTTGATATTGTCAATCGGTAACGCCAAATCAAAGGCTATACACGGACATGTTGGGTTATGTGAGTGGTAATTAATTTATATAGGTGCTTAACATGAAATCCACCATTCTCAAGTGAGAAAGTATATTCAAGCAATTTTTCTTATTAACATTGGACCAAAAGAAAACCAGGCGGTTACTTTTTCGTAAAAATATTTTATACATATATAATTGTAAAAATACTATTTTTGGAAAATGCTTTTAGGGTCCAATTAGAAGAAGGAAAAATTTAGAATTCGGTTACATGAGTTAGGGCTTTTGAGAGTGATAAATTTGTCCATACCTAATAGCTCATGTGGAATATAGTTTGGTGGAAGGAAATTTGTAATTAATTGTAAGAAAGGGCCTCACTTGTAATTTTCTACTTTTAGGGGTTTAATTGTAATGTGTTGATGGACATTATTGCAATTAGTGGAAGTTCTATATTATCTGTTTAAAAGATAATTAATGAAAAATTGGATAAGTTGTATCCTGTATATTTAAAATAAAAGATACATCTTTTATTTTATCTCCACAACTAAAAGATAGAGATCCTTAAGGATCCCACCTACATGCAAACTCTATCATGTGTTGTGTATATATATCAGATGTATTTGATACAAAAATTGGCCATCAGAATTTTTAAGGTCTGTAGAAAATATATACACACAAATAAATCAAAGAGGGTGCAAGGTGAATCACTTTGGAGGCGAGACACTTGGATCGCTTGGTGAGGTATTATCAATAACTCACTTGGAGAAAGTATTTTAGATTGTGTAATCAGGTGGTGTTTCTTTGAAAAAGTGTTTTTCAAAACAAATTATTTTTCCACAAACTTTCATTGGTATCAGAGCCACCCACTTTGATTGCATGAATCTATATTTTTGTTTTTTATAGTTTGATAAAAAATATTGAATATTCAATGTTGTCATGCATAATAGTTGATTATATAATTTGTGAATATATAATCTATTTTTTCTTGTATTAATCACAAAAGAAAAGGACCGAAATAGTATTTAAAAAAAAAAACAAAAAACAAAAAACACGTACTGTTTAATCGGTGATAACAGTGCACCTCAGTTTTTGTGTTTATTAGGGACTGGCCTAAAAGGCATTCACATGATATCATTATTTTATTTTTATTATTTATTTTTGCTTACTGTTGATGCATGGTCCATATCCACGATTACAGCTAGAAAAATAATAATAATAAGGAGAGGGCTGCTGACCTGGTTGCTGACCTCACTGACACGTGTAACGATGTCATCCGTTTCTACCACGCGCGGGTACAGGCGTGGACTTATTAAAACCCTGTTTGCTTGGTTTTTAATTTAAAACTAAGTTAATTGTTTCTATATTATTCGTTGTAATCTGTTTGAAACATGACTTATACCATTGGACTCGTAATTATTTTTTCTACAAGATTATAAAGTTTCAGAATTTTATGAAAAATAAAATATTGTTTTCATTAATGAATAATTCAATTTTTTTATGTTAAATTGCTCTTGGTGGAGCATGACTTGGATTCTGGACCTGAAATTTTATAGTAGACTAATGCTATGTAATTTTATTTACTGGTATAATTTTTTGTATTTTTCAGATTCTGTAATATTTGTTTCTGATTTTCTGTATAATTATTAATTACTTATAATTCTAGAAAATTTCAGAAAATTACAAAAATCATAGAAATATGCTATGGCATTATGTAAATATTATATACAACATGTTAAGATCTTTTAAATGATTAGAACTTGTAGTATATTGTTATTTTAAATAACATGATTTATTTATATTGATGAATTTTAATTCCTTGATTAAATATTCTATCATGTTTTATTTTATGAATTACATTGAGATGTTATCATGTAGAATTAATGTTTTATCATGCTTTAGACATGCCATAGTTAGTGGGAGGTTGTTCAGTTGATAAAAATCTTTGTAGTTTTTTCTCCCAAAAATTATTTTACTGTTGATGGCTTATAACCATATTCATGATTATATATATATTTTGTGGGTTTCATGTTACTTATGATAACATGAAAATTAATTTGCTAATTTATGGGGATAAATTAGTTATAAATGTTATTGGTACCCCATTTTAATTATTAAGTGTTAAATAGGATTATTTTAAGAAAAATAATGCCTATGGCCCTCCATTGTTGGTAATAAAAATTCTGATTAATTGAGATTCAAATGATACCAAAAGGGTCAGTTGGGTTGTAATTAATTAGTTTGTTTTATTTATTTTGTAAAGAGTATAAGTGTGACTAGTGGGAGTGTCGGCTAAAATGAAGACATAATCTTACATGTTCATGCTATGTATCTAAACAATGGTTTGCACTTAGACAAATACTATATGGCAACCAAAAGGTGTCATATGAGTTGATTTGGAGGCCAAAAGAAAAATTGGGAGTCATAAATAAATTTAATTTTTCTAAAAGAAAAATAAAAAATGGTAACATGAGATGATATTATGATGGGTAGTAGCTACCCACCCATTCAAGGTATGTTCACTTATTTCAAAAGAAATTTTTGTACATGCAGGATTGGTTTCCCAATGCTCACTATGAATGTTTTAAATATAAATGTTATATTGTGGGGTTATAAATTGTTTGAATAAAAATTCTAGTGAGTATTACCATAGTAGATTCAAAATCCCGCATTCTATGGATTTACATACAATGCAATACTTATATTCTTCTGACACATGTGTTAATTTTTAACATATGCAGCTAAAAATGAACAACTTTAATCCTTTGTCCAAAATTCTTGATGATAATCGTTTGACTGGATCAAACTATGTGAACTGGAAGAGAAATTTAACAATTGTCCTCACTGCTGAAAAATTGAACCATGTCCTAACCACTGATCCACCTGCGCTTCCTGAGGCAGATGCCACTGATGAACAACATGAGGTTGTTAGGAAGTGGCATGAGGCAGATGATGTTGCAAAATGCTACATATTGGCCTCAATGACCAATGTGTTGCAAAAGCAGCATGAGGGTGTTCCTACTGCAAAAGACATGATGGTTAACTTGAAAGAAATGTTTGGAGAACAAAGCAGAAGTGCATGCCAAATAGCCACGAAAGGTTTGATGTCCACTAGAATGGTGGAAGGTACTCCAGTACGGGAACATGTTCTAAAAATGATATCTTTCATTAACATACTGGAAACTTTGGGTGCAGATATTGATGGTGAAACTAAAATTGATGCGATACTTTCATCTTTACCAGATTCTTATAATCAGTTTATTTTGAATTACAATATGAATAAGATGATTGTTGCACCATCAGAGCTGCTCAATATGTTGCAAGCAGTAGAAGATCTTATTAAAAAGAGCCAACCCACTGTAATGATGGGTGAGAAGGAAAGTCCTAGAAAATTCAAGCCTAAGGGCAAGAATAATTTTAATAAGAAACCAATGGACTCCAAATTCTCTGAAAAAACACTAGGTGTTTTTAAAAAGGGCATAGATAAAAAGAAAAGTAAAGGAAATTGTTTCCATTGTGGAAAGCTTGGCCATTGAAAGAGAAACTACCGTCAGTATTTGGCAACATTGAAAAAGAACAAACCTTCAGAAAGCATGTTGAATCTGTTTGTTATTGAAACCAATTTATTGATTGGTCCTCCTAAAGCTTGGTGTGTAGACTCTGGTGCGACCTCACATATTTGCAATATGTTGCAGGGGTTCAAGGAGACCAGAAGGCTTAATGAATGGGAAATGCTAATAAAGTTAGGAACAAGTGCAACAGTTGCTGCAGTTTCCATAGGAATTTTTTATTTGGAATTATCATTTAATAGAACTCTAGTTTTAGAAGATTGTCTATTTATGTCAGACATCCGTAGAAATTTAATTTCTGTTTCAAAGTTATTTTCGTTGGGATATTGTTTTTCCTTTTCTTCAAAAGTTGTTATTAAGCACAATAATAAATTTGTGGTTTCTGGCATTTTAACCGAAGGTCTTTACTTTATTAGTTTTATTGATAATTCCATTAATTGCGTTGAGAATGATACATCCACCGGTATGTTACCCCTTAAAAGAAAAAGGGATGTTAATCAAACTTACATATGGCACTTGAAACTCGGCCATATCAATTTAGAACGTCTAAATAGATTGGTCAAGGATGGGCCTTTAGATTTTTTTTTTGAAAATTGAGCCCTATCCAATTTGTGAGCCCTGCTTGCAAGGAAAAATGTCTGAAATTCCATTTCTGGGAAAAGGAATTAGAGCCACAGAAGTTTTGGAATTAATACACACAGATGTTTGTAGTCCAATAAATCACATAGCAAGAGGTGGTTTTTACCATTTCATTACATTCACCGATGATTATTCTAGGTATGATTATTTGTACCTAATGAAACATAAGTCTGAATCCTTTGAAAAGTTCAAGGAATTTTGTAGCAACTTGGAAAAAGTATCAAAGCTCTTCGATCAAATCGTGGGGAGAATACCTTTTATATAATTTTTGAAATTATTTAAAAGAGAATGGTATTAAATACATGTGTAATTGGTTTTGAGTACAAGTGGGAGAATGTTGGCATTTGTGCCTTCAAAAACCAATTTATTGACTTTATTAATTGATTATATAAATTGCTTGGCATTTTATATTTTGCATTTTGTATGTTATTATGGGTAATGTTAAATTTAATGTTACATATGATGTGAACATAAGGTCCCTTGGGTAACATTGTAGAAAAACATGCTAATGGTTAATGAACCAAAAGCTGGGAGTTATGATTTTTCGGTGCCTCGTAAACCCAATTAATGTTCTAGGCTATGGGTGTTGATTGGGCGTCGCACTACTATGGCCTACACCTGTTTTGCTGCTATATGATAGAATGATTAACTCCATCATTGAGGTAGTGACCTTAAGCAAATAGGTGGGTGTTATGCAATAAGTACATGCACTGAACAGGATCGGTTTTAAGAACACCTATGGAATGATCACTATCAGTTTAAAAGGTAGTTCTATTACAATACACTTATTTTCCTTTGACCTGAGAGGCTTGTATAAATTAATTATCTATTCATTTAACTTTGACATTGTCAATCGGTGATGCCGAATCAAAGGCTATACACGGACATGTTGGGTTATGCGAGTGGTAATTAATTTATATAGGTGCTTAACATGGAATCCACCATTCTCAAGTGAGAAAGTATATTCAAGCAATTTTTCTTATTAACATTGGACCAAAAGAAAACCGGGCGGTTACTTTTTCGTAAAAATATTTTATACATATATAATTGTAAAAATACTATTTTTGGAAAATGCTTTTAGGGTCCAATTAGAAGAAGGAAAAATTTAGAATTCGGTTACATGAGTTAGGGCTTTTGATAGTGATAAATTTGTCCATACCTAATAGCTCATGTGGAATATAGTTTGGTGGAAGGAATTTTGTAATTAATTGTAGAAAGGGCCTCACTTGTAATTCTCTACTTTTAGGGATTTAATTGTAATGTGTTGATGGACATTATTGCAATTAGTGGAAGTTCTATATTATCTGTTTAAAAGATAATTAATGAAAAATTGGATAAGTTGTATCCTGTATATTTAAAATAAAAGATACATCTTTTATTTTATCCCCACAACTAAAAGATAGAGATCCTTAAGGATCCCACCTACATACAAACTCTATCATGTGTTGTGTATATATATCAGATGTATTTGATACAAAAATTGGCCATCAGAATTTTTAAGGTCTGTAGAAAATATATACACACAAATAAATCAAAGAGGGTGCAAGGTGAATCACTTTGGAGGCGAGACACTTGGATCGCTTGGTGAGGTATTATCAATAACTCACTTAGAGAAGTTATTTTAGATTGTGTAATCAGGTGGTGTTTCTTTGAAAAAGTGTTTTTCAAAACAAATTATTTTTCCGCAAACTTTCAATTACGATGAAATTATATGATTAAAAATGCCAAATCAATTTGATTTTTTATTTTTCAATTTTTTTTAACGAAAACTTACATACAAAATTTTACAAAATGAATTATTCCAATCGTTAGAATAACACCCATAAGTCTCATGAATCCCAATAAATCTCAAGAACACTCCTTCCCTTCTGAAAAAAAATTATGTAATATGTGAAAAAAAAAAATACATTTGAACAGAAATTATTTTGTATGATTTTTTTAAAAAAAATATTCTGCAAAGAGAATATTTTCTACATTTTGAAAGTGAAAATATTTTCTCATAAAGACTTTGAAAAATATATTTGTACTCATATAGACTAAATTTTTCATCCATCTTAAAAATTGTTTTTGGTTAATTTTCATTTTCATTGTACTACACTACACGTCAAAAATAAAAAATTATTTTCACTCTAAACAAATGGAGTTTAAATATAAAAAAGTATACTGGGCCAAACTTGGGCCGTAAGGTCCATATACATGGGGAATTCTATTTGCACCAAAAAAATTATTAAGTACATCTAATTTCTTAGTACTTGTAAGAGGGGCTAATTTGAGCCCACTAAATTATTTAGGCCCAATAGCCCAAGATTAGTGGGCCCGAATTTATCGCAAGTCCAAGAATCGGTGGGCCCAGATTTATCGCCATCAAACGGATTGAATCGCTGTAAGCCTCGAAAGGGTTCGGGTCCACGAACCTAGAGACTTACTCGGGCCCGGACTCGAAAGGGTATTAAGCAAGCCTAGAGATCCGAGGCACTCGGACTCGAAAGGATTCGGACCCACGAATCTAGAGATCCGAAGTACTTGGCTTCGAACGGATTCAGACGCAATCTAGAAGTCGCTCCGTTAATGAGAGGGTGAGCAAGTTTACTATGGAAGTGCTCTCGATCCAGAGGGCAGAACATTTATGACTCATGGCGAAGATCCCTTTGATCCCGAAGGAGGAGAAGAATACTATGGAAGAGGAGGACACCATGTTTATGTGGCATCTTATTTTGAGGAGACCGAGGAGATGGTTAACTACGAGCCTCCAAGAGTGGAAACAGATCCGGATCACTATGCCAAAACCCTGCAAGACTGTGTAAAGTTCAAGCAGTTCTTTGACCAGCTTGGACTTTCCAGGGAGGCAAGAACGGAAATCACCAAGTCTATCATTAATATAGCCGAGGCACACCATGAGGAATGCATGTCGACTGAGGGGTCTATCCCGAGGAAGGCAAAAGAGCAATCTAGTGCCATTACTTTCTCCGAGGTTGATCGGAAGTATCCTTTTTCTCACAATCGCCCGCTTTATGTGACTGCTTTTATTAATGGAGTTGAGTTCAAAAGGGCCTTTCTAGATAGTGGAGCCTCTGTCAACATTATGACTCGTGCTACTCTAGAAAAGGCCGGAATCTCTGAAGAACGCATTGTGAAGCAGCCGATAGTCATCACTGGCTTCGGTGGAGAAAGAAGAGTTACTATCGGATGCGTAACAGTTGACTTAGCCGTCGGAGAGATTCGCTCGGCCACCAAGTTCCATATTATCGATTCTGAGGCAAATTATCACATCATTCTAGGGAGGACCTGGATGCATAGATATGGGGCTGTACCATCAAGTTATCATCAGTGTGTTAAGGCTAAATGGGGAAAGAAGATGGTGACAATTCAGGCTACAGAAAGGCCTTTCGAGATCCATGAAGCTCATTATTCTGATGCCATCTACTTCACCGAACTGGCTGTCGAAGAAATTCCCACCACCTCTAAGCCTCGAGGGGTCAAAATTCCTCGTTGGGAGGATATCAAAGACAACAAGGAGCCGATGGCAGAATCAAGTAAGCGGGCGATGTCTAGACCAGAAAGTTCGCCTATTCCTCGGAAGGTGATGAAAGTCCAAAAAGGAGGCAAGATAGTGTACTATTTATGAAGGTGCGGGGAGTCGGTTTCTTCAGTCACTGACTCCGAGTCAAAAGAAGAGCCTCCTGACAATGATATAGTAATAAAGCCTGAAGTGGCTCCAGAATGCATGCAAGATGGGCCGAAGCCTCAGCCTGAACAACTTATTGAAATAGATTTGAGTGATGGACAAGATGCTCCAAGGCCGATATTCATAAGTTTGAACCTTAGCCCAGAGAAGCGGGAACAGTTGTTAAAATTGATAAGCCGATACTCAAATGTGTTTGCTTGGTCATATAAAGAAATGCCCGGACTAGATCCTGACCTAGTCTCCCATTATCTTGATGTGTTCCCAAACTCCAATCCAATTAAGCAAGCTGCTCGAAAATATCATCCAGATCTCGAAGAGAAGATAAAGAAGGAGATTGAAAAATTTCAACAGGCTGGTTTCATCCGGCCAATAAAGTACCCCACGTGGTTAGCAAACATCGTGCCAATAAAGAAGAAGAATGGCCAAATCAGAGTATGTGTAGACTTTCGAGATTTGAACAAATCTTGCCCGAAGGATGAATTCCCGC